CATGGCGCACGGGCCCAGCTGCTCCGCGGCATGTAGGATCTTCCTGGACCAGGGCTCGAACCCACGTCCCCTGAATCGGCAGGCGGGCCCTCAACCACTGCGCCACCAGGGAAGCCCTAAGATAATTTATTTTGGACACCCCCCCACCTCCCCAAACCATTTCTCCATGCAATTAAAAACTCTTCACAAACATTTTAATGGTTTTATAGTATTCTACCATATAGTTGTAGCATAAATTTTTAGCCACTTCTCTGATGCTGGACAGTTAAGTTTCCATCAGTTTTTCACCTGTATAAATACCGCTGTAATGCACACTTTTGTGCATGAATCTTGTCCATATTCCTGATCATTTCCTTAGAGTAGATACACAGAAATGGAACTCCCTTCCATCTACTGCTGTCTCCTCCCTGTCACAGCCAAACTTCTTTGAAAAGCTATCTGTGTGCACTGGCTCCATTTCCTTCCTAAAACCTGGCTTAAAAGCCTTCAGTGGCTTTAGTGTTTATTATGGGACAGACACTAAAGTCCCTGCTGTTGCCTTCAAGACCCAACATGAACTAGCCTCTCTCCCTGCATCTCCAGCCTCTTCCCTGTTACCTCTGGCTCAGCCACACTGGCTATTGGATGTAATGGCTCCTTCCCCTTTCTCCAGCCACAGGGCCTTCAAACCTGCATAGCCTCCCTCTGGAATAGTCTCACTCCCCCACCCATCTGTCCTTTGTGGACTATAAGGTAAGGTATCTACTTAGAGGAAGTGGGTGGAAGTTTGAAGAGAAGTGAAGGTCTCAAAAGTGCATTTAGGAGTTAAAGAGAGGAATTGACCAGACAAAGTACACAAGGGGTTTCCAGGTAGCAATGAGGGCCACCTTCCGGGTATATTCAGAGTCAGGAATGTGAGCTTCCCATCAAGGGAAATGGAATTGTCCTCTAGGGCTATGATCACCTTTAGCTTCCGGAGAAAAGAGCTTTGCTTAAACTCAGTTCACCTGATGAGTTCCGTATCCACTTCCTGTGTTTATTTTTCTCAGTCTTGTAGCATTGTCCTACCTCCTCTTGACTAATTCAATTTATGTGGGTGATAGCACGATTTGTCATAGAATAAGTGGAGGACTTTACAAATAAATACTTTTGGGGTCATTGGAAACCTCAATGTGAAAGTCCTCATTTCTGGGTTTATTGGGAAGTTGTAAAGTTGCTCTGTTCAGTAGGATTTCTGCTACCCACCTGTGGCTATTTAAATTGAAATGAATTAAAATTTGTAATAAAATTAAAAATTTAATCCCTTAATTACACTAACTACACGCCAATAGCCACTTGAGGCTGGTGGCCACCGTATTACACAGTGGAGATGGAACATTTTCGTCATTGTAGAAAGTTCTGAACAGCGCTGATCTAGAGAGCAGACGAGGATCCAGCGAAGTCATCTCTGAGGCTAGTCATTGTGTAGAATGGTGATCCAGGAAAAGTAATGGACAGTTGGCTTTGGCTAGTTTGCTACAGGTTGTGATACACAGTTTATGGGTTCATCTAACATTAAAAAAAAATGACATAAAAATTCTGCTCCCTTCTGGCATTCCCAATCATTCCCCAAATTCAGCAGAAAAGCCAGCCTCTCTGGGCCCACATATCCCTGGGCTTCCTTTGCCTATGTATTCGTCATGGTCAAGTGACTCAGATGACCTGCTGACCAAGCAGATGTCCAAGCTGAAGAATAAGTGCTAGTCAAAAACTCCTAGGGGCAGGACAGGAATAAAGACACAGACATAGAGAATGGACTTGAGGACACAGGGAGGGGGGAGGGTAAGCTGGGACGAAATGAGACAGTGGCATGGACATATATACACTACCAAATGTAAAATAGATAGCTAGTGGGAAGCAGCCACATAGCACAGGGAGATCAGCTCCGTGCTTTGTGACCACCTAGAGGGGTGGGATAGGGAGGGTGGGAGGGACACGCAAGAGGGAGGGGATATGGGGATGTATGTATATGTATAGCTGATTTGCTTTGTTATACAGCAGAAACTAACACAGCATTGTAAAGCAATTCTACTCCAATAAAGATGTTTAAAAAAAAGAAAGAAAAAAAAGATTTATCTGTTATTTATTTAATTTATTTTTGGCTGTGTCGGGTCTTAGTTGCAGCATGTGGGATCCTCGTTGAGGCATGCGGCATCTTTCGTTGCGACGTGCAGGCTCCTCGTTGTGGTGCGTGGCCTTTTCTCTTGCTGTGGTGTGCGGGTTTTTCTCTTCTTTGGTTGCGGCGCGCAGGCTCCAGGGTGCGTGGGCTCTGTAGTTGTGGCATGCGGGCTCAGTTGCCCCGCAGTGTGTGGGATCTTAGTTCCCTGACCAGGGATGGAACCTGCGTCCCCCACGTCGTAAGGTGGACTCTTCACCACCGGACCACCAGGGAAGTCCCAGATTTTTACTGTTTTTTTTTTTTTTAATTTTTATTTATTTATTTATTTTTGGCTGCGTTGGGTCTTCGTTTCTGTGCGAGGGCGTTCTCTAGTTGCGGCGAGCGGGGTACACTCTTCATCGCGGTGCGCGGGCCTCTCACTGTCGCGGCCTCTCTCGTTGCGGAGCACAGGCTCCAGACGCGCAGGCTCAGTAGTTGTGGCTCACGGGCCCAGTTGCTCCGCGGCATGTGGGATCTTCCCAGACCAGGGCTCGAACCCGTGTCCCCTGCATTGGCAGGCAGATTCTCAACCACTGCGCCACCAGGGAAGCCCTACTGTTTTTAAGGATCGAGTAAAGTAAGGTTCTGCTCGTAGATCAGACACCAGCACTTTTGACATGGCCCCACAACGGGGGCAGAAGGGAAGTCCTATTACATACGAGAGTCATACAAACACAGGACAACGCGTTCTTTCCCGATCTTACCTTCTTCTGGGTCTGTTTCACTTGATTTGGCTCAGCCAGCAATTCTTCCCACCTCCAAATTCTAGGAATCCTCTATAAAGGCATTTTATCTTATAATTATTGTAGGTCTTCCTTACGCATACAGAGTCTTGGTTTATTCCTCTCTACCCCTCAAGTTTGAAGATAATGTGGTTTTGTGAAAATGGGAAAGGTTAAGAGGAGGAAGAACTGGAGTCTCTTTTATTTTCTTGCCTTTTCTTTCCCCCAAAGGGGCTAGGGGCTATTTTCCTGAGCTAGGAGGGAATTATTTGCAGAGTTATGGACTACCTACTTCTCTGTGCCCTGGGGAGGGACCTGTCATAAGCACTGCCAGGAAGAACTCTGGCAGCCTGGGGTGTGTGTACACAGACTACCCTGAAGTAGCCTGGATGTAGACGTAGCAATATGGTTCCTCACAAAGATGTTTCTAAACGTAGAATGTTGCTGACTCTGTGACTTGATAACTGGTCCAGTAATGAGTGAGGGGAGTTGATTTTGATTAGCTTCCTCAACAGAAATTTTGAGACACTGCTCTATTTGAGTGGTCAAAACCCAAAGAAAATATCTCGTATACTCACGTAGCCTCTACAAGTTGCAAAATATGTTCTCAAGAATCATTTCATTTGATGCTCATGATACATCTGTGGGCTGGGGCAAAACATGAGGCTCAGGGCTTCCCTGGTGGCGCAGTGGTTGAGAGTCCGCCTGCCGATGCAGGGGACACGGGTTCGTGCCCCGGTCTGGGAAGATCCCACATGCCGCGGAGCGGCTAGGCCCGTGAGCCATGGCTGCTGAGCCTGCGCGTCTGGAGCCTGTGCTCCGCAACGGGAGAGGCCACAACAGTGAGAGGCCCGCGTACCACAAAAAAAAAAAAAACCCAAAAAACAAAAATCCATGAGGCTCAGAGTGGTAAAGTGATTTGCTCAAGGTCACACAGCTAGTAGGTGACGAGGCTGAGTTTTGAATCCCAGTTGCTTTTCTGAGAATATTGCTTTACTTCTCATTTATATTTTAATGGAGAGGCAGATGGTAAGGATAGTTCCTGATGCTCCAGTGGGATGGATGATGAAGCTGGCTGCTGAGACAGGGAACCTTAGGAAGGGATCCAGTTTAGGGAAAATGATGAACTCAGCTTTGGATATCAGGTAGGCTGGGTCTGTGGGTCAGGAGCTCAAGGAGAGAACTGAGCTGGAATTATATATGTAGGTCACTGGTTCGTAAATGACAAGCGAAGCTCTGGGCATGGATGAGTTTTCCCAGAAAGAAAAGAGCATTAAATGAGGAAGGAAGGGCCAAGCAGTGAGGATGCTCGATGGCCAAGTAGAAGAGAACTAGCCAGCCCAGGAGCAGTTAGAGGGGCGGGAGGAAAGCCAAAAGGTGCTTGAGTGTTATGTCATTGAGGTAGAGAAAGATATATATGAAAGAGTGGGGTATCTTTCAGTTTATTTCCAGACCCATTTCCCCATGAGCACCCCAAAAACTATCATATGGCAGCCATGCATCTCTAGATCAGAGGCACTTCAGTAGTGCACTGTTACAAAGTATATTTATTTATTTTTGTATTGCTGTGACAGATGGCAGCATGTGTGTTTTCTGCCTGGAACAATAACCTTTCCATTCTCCTGCGTCCTTGCACTTTTGGCTGTCACTGCGGTCTGTTGCGAACCTGAGATCCTTTATTCCCACAGAGTACTAAACAATATCTGGTGTCAGTGGTTTTGTGATTCTACTCCAGACACCCCACCTTTATTTGCCAGCTGGGCTCTCTTTTTTTTTTTGCGGTACGCGGGCCTCTCACTGTTGTGGCCTCTCTCGTTGCGGAGCACAGGCTCCGGACGTGCAGGCTCAGCGGCCATGGCTCACGGGCCCAGCCGCTCCGCGGCATGTGGGATCTTCCCGGACCGGGGCACGAACCCGTGCCCCCTGCATTGGCAGGTGGACTCTCAACCACTGCGCCACCAGGGAAGCCCCAGCTGGGCTCTCTTAATGAGCTCGCTGCACACAGTTCAATACTAGAACTCTCTTAGTGGGTGAAATATGTTTGAAGAACTCACCGGTGGAATGTTCCATGTTAGGCCTGCTTCCATTCTTTCTCTTTTCAGGATGGCTTTAGCTCCTCCAAGTTACTGTTTTGTGGCCTTCCCGCCACGTGCGAAGGACGGTCTGGTGGTATTTGGGAAAAATTCAGCTCGGCCCAGGGATGAAGTGCAAGAGATTGTGTATTTCTCGGCAGCTGATCATGAACCTGAGAGCAAGGCTGAGGTAAGTCACGTGTTACTGTCTCTCAGTTAACATGTATCCTCTTTCTCTGGCTTTGTCCAGCACCTTGATGTCTTAACCTGGAAGCCTGCTCACAAGTCAGAACTGTCATGTGGGTTCTGTTGATTCCTGTTTCCATTCAGGTTTGTTCATAGCCTTAAAAACAGGGTGACATGGAGAATTCTACATTCGTTGCTATGGCCCATGTTTTATACTTAAGTAAAATATTTACACAATTCCAAAGTGAAATCTATGAAATAAGGTATATTCATAGAAGTCTGGCTTCTGCCTTTGTATCATTCACTCCATTGCCTTTTTCTTCTATAGGTTATCATGTTTTGGAAGTTTGGGGGTTTATCCTTCCATTTAAAAAATTATATATTAATATATGGAATAAACTACACACACACATACATATCCATATGAATATTTATCCCAGTCCCTTTCCTCTCTTCTTAGATGAATGGTAGCATGCTATATACACTTTTTTCCACTTTGCTCTTTTCAACTAAAACTATCTTGCAGGTCACTCCATCTGGTCTCTAAAGAGATTCTTCATCCCTCATTTACAGCTGTGTAGTATTTCATTCTGTGGATGTAATCAGACTTTAATCGGTCCCATATTGCTGGACATTTGGGTTGGTTTCCAGTCTTTTGCTCTTACAAATAGTGCTGAAGTGAATAATAGCCTTGTGCATCTGTCACAGTATCTTGTCTCGGTTTATATATTTTTATCATGTTAAAAATTATCCACCAGTTCTTATTTTGAGTGCTTAGTCAGTATTTCTTTGGAATAGGTGCCTAGAAATGGGATTTCTGAGTCACAGGGTATGTAAATAGGTAATTTTGTTAGATATGGTCAAATTTCCTTTCATAGCTGGTGTACCGTACCATTTTGCGTTCCCACCAGCAATGTAAGACGGTGCCTGTTTGTTCATGTTCCCAGAGTGTGTTGTCAAACTCTCATGATGGCTATTTCATGTTAGTTTTACATTCTGCTCTTTTACTAAATTCTTTTATTGGTTGTGTCAGCTTTTATTCTTGATTCTCTTGGGTTTTCCAGGTATGTTGTTATAAAACCTGCAAATAGAGGTTGTTTGATTGTTCTTACATCTCTAATTATTTTCTGCTTTGTTTGGCTTATAGCTTGGATTCAGTATTAATAGTGAGGGAGATAATGGATATCTTTGCCTTTGTTCCTGACCTGAGGTGGGGGACAGCCTCTAGTGCTTCCACATTAAGTAAGATGCTGGTTTGGGAACAGAGATTTATATAGCTTTGTCATGTTAAAAAGTATACATCAATTCATACTTTGATTGCTTTTAAATCCTCAAGAATAGGTGTGACATTTTGTTAGAGATCTTTCCAGTGATTATGGAGATGATCCCCTGATTTTTTTCTTCCTATTTAATGATAAGTTGAACCATCTTTGCATTCATGGACTAAACTTCTTGGTTATGGTATATTTAGTTGTATGTGTTTAAATTGTAATTGTTTGTTGAAGGATGAAGAATTTGGATGAAAAAAATGGGAGCTAGTAGATTAACAAACTCTTGCCCCTGACATCATCTGTATTCTTTGATGTTCTATGCTTTACAAAATAAACTGATTTTTCTGGTGACTGTGCTAGGTTTTAAGTGAGTATTCATCAGTGCGTATTTCATTTTCTTATCTGAATCTTTATCTGTTTCGATCCTTTAAAAGCATTAAGCATCACCAGAGCAACAGAACTCCACAAGGAGCTGCTTATGCGAGGTGAATTCAACAGAGACACTGAGACGAACAGGCAGAGTGCATGAGTCTGTGGTCGAGGCAGCGGCAGACTGGCTCCCACAGGATATTCGCCAGAACCACTTGCCTCTCGTGTTGCACCACTAACTTGGTCCAAGCCCCTAAGCTTCAGCGGGACCTTCCTTTCATACAGGCAGAAAAGAGTGCTAGGTTCTCTGGCGCTCATGCTAGCTTTTAAATGGGTATTCAGTAATGTTTGAATGTCCATGTTGTTTGCATCTGAATGTTTCTTTCTGTTCCTGGAACAGAGTGGGCTCGGTATGGATGAAGTTGGCTTGGTTTGCGTTGTTACTGACCTTCCCTGTCTGTCTTCCCTAAATGTTTCTTTTTCCCAGAGAGTCATGCAAAACTGAAGCAACACTTTGATTTTCATGTGGGCAGATTTAATTTCCCAAAGATGGCTATACGAAATCCCATTCCACATGTACTTCTCACAGTGTGATAGACACGCCTCCATGGAGTGGAGGGTTTATGCCCCCCCCCACCCCTGCCACGAATCTTGGTGAGGACTTCCGATGGCATCATGCAGTGAAGCGTGACGGAGGTGATGCTGTGTGACCTCCAGGGCTGGGTCATAAAAGGATTCAGCTTCCACTCATCTCCCTCTTTTGGAACTCTAGCCCTAAGATCCCAGGCACCATGCTGGGGGGAACCCAAACACCCATGTACACAGACCATGGGGTGGGGCCCACATGGAGAGCCTACAGCTAGTGCCAGCTGCCAGATGTGTGAGTGAATGACATTTCAGTGATTCCAGACCTCAGGCTCTATGGAGTAGAGGCACACCATCCCTTCTGTGCCCTGTCCAGATTCCTGACTCATCAAATTCACGAACATAATAAACGGTTGTTTTACACCACTAGATTTGGGGTCATTTTTTAGTAGCCATAGTAACTACAATATTGTACAAAGCCTTTTATAAATATGGCTGAAATAAATATTTTAGAAAACATTTGTTTTCTTTTTTGGGGAATAGGTTAAATAAGTCTGTATTTTACTCACGGTTACAGTCATTTTAGGAAATAGACTAGATTCCTTTCACTAGTTAACCTATGGTATATTAATGCTCAAATACACTATAGGTTACATTATGTCCCTTTGCATAAATAAGTGCAGCTTGATATATACCAGAGTTAGTCCCTAAGGCAGCCCTGACCTTTTTTCTGAGTTGGATATCTGTGTTCTGAGTTGCCTCTGCACGTTTCCACATCCACACTCTGCAGGTAAAATAACTCTACGGATCCAAAACCAAATTCACTTTCCCCGTCTCATCTGTTCCCCTAACAGCGCTATTGTCTGCCGCATCGTTTAATCTAGAAACCAGACAGAAGCGTTGACCCCCGTTTTCCCACTTCTCTGTGGATGCACGGGGGTGGCTGTCACTGCGTCTTGTTGCTTCCTCTCCTGTGTCCCCACCTCCACCCCACGGCCCCCAGCTCATTCACACCCACCCCCATCTCCCTTTGGCTTTAATCTGCTTATTGGTGCCCAGGTCTCTTTCTCCTGAATTCTGTTCCCTGCAGCGTCACCAGAATTTTCTTTCCAGATCACAGCTTTGTCATTGCCTTGTTTAAAAATGTTTGGTTGCTTATAGGATGAGAGTCCAGGCTGATTTGTATGCCATTCACAACTCTTCCTGATTGGCACCCTGCTCACTTTTCTTTCTTTTCTTTTCAATTACTAGACAGTTTCAGAGCAGATTTAAGTTTCCAGAAAATTGAGTATAAGTACAGAGAGTTCTCATATAACCCCTCAACTCCCCCCAACCCCCTGCCTCCCAGTTTCCCCTATTATTAACATTTTGTCCTAATATGGTGCATTTGTTGCAATTGATGAGGCTGTACTGATACATGATTATTAACAAAGGCAGTAGTTTACATTAAAGTTCACTCTTTGTGTTATATATTCTGTGGGTTTTGACAGTTTCTAATATCATGTATCTGTCATACAGAGTAGCTCCACTGCCCTAAACATCCTCCGTGTTCTGCCAGGTCGTCTCTCCCTTCCCCTAACCCCTGGCAACCGCTGATCTTTTCACTGTCTCCATAGTTTTCCCTTCTCTAGAAGGTTATATAGTTGGAATCATATAGCATGTAGCCTTTTCAGATTGGCTTCTCTCACTTACTAATATACATTTAAGATTCATTCCTGTCTCTTCCAGGCTTGATAGAATGTTTCTTTTCAGCTCTGAATAATATTCCATTGTCTGGATGTACCATAATTTATTCTTCCATTCACCTATTGAAGGACATCTTGGTTGCATCCAAGTTTGGGCAATTTTGAATAAAGTTGCTGTAAAATTTGTGCGTAGGTTTTTGTATGGACATAAATTTTCAACTCATTTGGGTAAAGATACTTTTTAATGTAATTTTACGTTTTGAATAGGTGATATATTGGTGTGGTTCAAAGATTTAATAACATTAAAAGGTTTACAGTAAGCAGTCTTAATCTCCCCTTATTCCTGTCTACCGATTCCCATCTTTTATCTATTTGTTTGTCTGTTTATTTATTTATTTTTGGCTGCGTTGGGTCTTTGTTGCTGCACGCAGGCTTTCTCTAGTTGCGGTGAGCTGGGGCTACTTGTGGTTGCAGTGTGCAGGCTTCTCACTGTGGTAGCTTCTCTTGTTGCGGAGCACGGGCCCTAGGTGTGTGGGCTTCAGTAGTTGTGGCATGTGGGCTCAGTAGTTGTGTCTCGCAGGCTCTAGAATGCAGGCTCAGTAGTTGTGGCACACAGGTTTAGTTGCTCCGTGGCATGTGAGATCTTCCCGGACCAGGGCTCAAACCCATGTCCACTGCAGGGGATACGGGTTCAATCCCTGGTTGGGGAACTAAGATCCTGCATGCCATCCGGCGTGGCCAAAAGAAAAAAATAAATAAATAAAATTGTGGGTTTTTTTTTTTTTAAATGGAGGTTTCATTTAAAAAAAGAGTCACTGTGATTGCTCATCTGCCCACCTACCCACCCTTCCAACTGGTCCATCCTACCAGGTGGTCTTCTCTTCCAGTTCGTCCCCTTTCTTACCCTTCATCTTTCACTCAGTCTGTCCATCGGTCTGCTTGTCCATCTGTCATCTACTCTATGTCCAGTTCACTTTGCTTGAGATGGAGGAATAAGAAATGGGGTCCTCCAGCACAGAGTTCCTCAGTTTCTAAAATTACACTGCACATTTTTGTTCAGATGCACAGCTGGCAGATTGGAACATTTTATTTTC